ATAAGCTCCGCCCTTTCGGCTTCAACTTGGTTGGAACTGTTGAGCGGGCGACGCAACGTTAGGGCCTCTCCCTATATAGTTACTCCAAGCACTGGAGCCCCCAAAAGACACGAAATGGGGGACAAATGAACAATCAATCTACATTTGCAATACTTGTACACACTCATTTAAAGTCTTCTACAGGAGGCCTATAGACCAGGTCCGACTATACTTTTAAGTTTTGTATTTAACGTAGGGTTGTGACAGGAAGTATTTCATTTGAAATGACAACGAAATAAAGGACCCAGAATTTCATTTTTTGTTGTTGTTGTTGTTCGTTTATTTTTAAAACTCTGCTTCATTCATTATTATGATATTTTCTCCTCTCTATGTCCCTTTGATTAAAGACTACAAACACGTTAAAAAAAAAATTTCACTAGCAAATTAAACCGGAAAAACTCTACTGATCATACACTTAGAATTTAGGTTAGAATTCACTTTTACAATAATATTCTGAGACAACATCACGCCTTCGAGTCATATATAATGTTATATTTACAATCTACAAACAACGCAACACTTCGGGATTCTAAACAGCGACAAAAAGACCCATTGGTCTGATTTTTTCATACGTACTATTATGAGGAACATTTCAGATTAAAAAGTCTCATTTTTGTCGTGATTGAAAAGTATACTATTTATGTCATCATCCTCATCATCATCACTGCCTTTCTCACCCTGGATCAGGGAATAGGCCACAAACAAACACTTTCCACCTTTCCCTTTCATGGGCAAGTCTCAAGATATTACTGTTCTGGGACCCCTGACAGGACAGACTGCGTTGAAACCCACCTCATAAGTGATCTAAATTGAGTCGATCGGGGCGCAAAAAACACCAACATTTAAATATTTAAAAAATAAAAAAAGAAGTTGAAACAAGAACGACTTACAGTTGCTCCACTTGGAGGAGTGCAACATATCGTTGAGCTCGGGCACATAGACCAGCACCACATGGTCGCTCTCCCGGTGGATGTTCTTGCAATACCCTGAAACGACACCACGCACAGCTCATCATTACACCATTTGTTTGGGTTTTATGTTTGTTCATTTTCGTCTGTTCGTTTGTTTTCATCTGTATGTTTGTTTGTTTTTGTTGTTTGGTTTCGTCTGTTTGTTTTTGTTTGCTTGAGTAAAAAGAAACACATCGACACAATGATGGCCATTTGAAACAAAGAAAAAAGCAAAACAGACAGACAGAAACAACAGAGGCATCGAAAAGAATACAGCATATTGACATGAAATAATTTTTAAAAAACAACAACAGCAAATTATAATTAAATTAAATGACAGGATGTTGAGAAAGGAAGTAAAACATGAGAAGCAGTGTGTCTGCATGAAAAAAAGCTGCTCAAATGTATTACGAAAGACTGCTGTAGATGTTACCGATTTTGAACCAAATGTTTGCTAGGACAGCATATTTTCTTTACTATTAAACATCATACGCTTTATTTTTTTTTTTGCCATAAAACCACTGCCTGGATAGACCGACCTGCTGCTCCTCAATACTAACCAGGACACAGCGTGCGCTGTAATTAATGGTACGACAGTGGCAGTACTGTGGGTTAACTCGTGCATCAACTTCCATCATTTAGATATATCTAGATCAAAACTCTTTTTCCCCCTGCGCTTGAATATTTTTTAAAAAGAAACCAGTTACACGGTCTAGTCTAGTTTAAGTAAGAGTTGTTTTAACTACTTGCAACACAAATCGGACATGTCAGTTCCGAGGTTTAGAAGCGTTGTCACAATGGAGTAACAAAAAGAAAACACAGATTTTTTATAGGAAAGAAGGAGCAAACAACATCATAGCGCCTAATAACCTCCGACACATTATCGATTCTGTGCTTGAAAAAAAAAACGTAAAAGAGAGGAAAAACTAAGAATTATGTCAATAATTAAAAGTGCTCGGCATTCGATTGACCTTCTATGAAAATAAAAGTTTTGTACAACATTGTGATGAACATTTCACAGGCCCCGAACTGACAGCACATGGTCAAAGGACAAAAGTGAAAACCTTGAAGATTTGAAAAGGGCTACTTAAGGTACTGAACGAGGAAGAATAAAACCAAACCGGCTGACCAAAAGCGGTGACCCACATAGTAGTACACAAGGCACATGAATTCGTCAGCGTCAATGATGCCTGGATCTAGAATTATTAAAATTTGCCCATCTAAGTTGAATACACTTGAATAGAGAGAGAGAGATTCCCTCCATCGAGCGCAATAAATGACACTTCACATCAAGAGCTGAAACTGATGGGAGCCGAAGGCAAAATCACAAACAGTTTGGTTAGTTTCAGCAAGTTTTACGGCACTTACAACACAGATAAGTCATCGTTCGCTTGTTAGTTCCTGTGAATAAAGAGCAGCATAACGACCCAATAATGGTCATTTAGTGCTAGTTTTGATTGATTGGGTAGATGTTTTACGGCACTATCGACACAATTTTGGTCATTTAAGCGCCACTTTTTAGTGCTGGGAAAAAGTAAAGACAGATAGAAACAACAGAGTAAGAGTAAAGGAGTAGGACGTATCAGTGGTCCCCTCCCACCACCCGCACAAGTGGGTCACATAAGTGACGAAGATTACAGGTGGTACTACTAGAGAGTAACATGCAAAGAACAGAAGAAGAAAAGATGAGGACGATAGATGTTTGACAGGAAAGAAGGAGCAAACCACACCAGAGCTCCTACCAACCCCCCCCCCCCCCCTATATGCTGTCTGTAAAAAGATAGAGCGAATGCTTGGTAGAATAAAATGGGCTCCAGTTTTTGGTCGGAGAGGAAAAACTTATGCAAAAAAATAAAATTAAGTAATATGAAAAAATAATGCTGACTATACTTAAATGTACCACCGTGTAAGTAGCAAGGGTCATTGCCAAACCGAATAGCCAGTTAGCAACACAACCCCACGGATGTTTCCAACAACTACATGTTATTAAGTAGTTAAGGCCATCGCCAACATACAATTAAATGGAAATAAGCGCAGTACTAGAGAGCGCACTGGGTAACAGTTGAAAACAAAGCACGAACCTGTATAGCTGTCCCAAGCTGCTGCTTGTATATTGGCCTACATAGTTTATGGATTTTCAGCAGACTTATTCATCGCCTGCAAACACACATTATACCGCTGAATAGTGCGTGGTTACACATCGATAACTTGGCTCGTGTCAAGCAAGTCTGAAAACTGACATCTGAAGACAGTAGATCGCAATTCTCTTTTAGAAAATTATAATAAAACGTAATAATTGTATTTATAGAGCGCATTTCCATGCTCTACGGTGTACCCTATGTGCTTTACAACTAGTATTACCCCAGCAGACCCCAGAACACTCAGGAACATTCTCGGCTTCCAGGAAGCACCAGTACAAGCAGTCGATTAAAGTGCCCAGATAGGCCTACTAACAAACTGGCCAGATCTTTCACTGTCTACAGCTGGGTGCTCATCCCCACCTGAATGAAGTAAAAATAATTTTGAAAAGTGGCTTTCCTAAAAACGCAAGTCCGGATCCCTGGCAGGGTTCGAACCTCAAAACTTTTCGTTTGCTAGCCCAACAGCCTAACCACTAGACCACTGACACTAAAAATACTCAAATTCCAAGAGTTCCTTGGTCAACCTAAATTGAAAATACTCTCTGTGTGAGCTCTTTGTTTAGTTTTTATTGCCTTGGTTGAATATTATAACACATCTTTCACCTTGGAGCGAAACTCCGTTATTGTGTTGTAAGCACAAGTGTAAGCCTACAGTGGAGCATTCACACACGCACCATGCTGTACGGTTCTCAGCCGCACGACCACCACAATCTGTCACACTCGAGGCAGAAAGCCGGGATTCCGTCGCCATTGTTAAATGAAATTGATGTGTCCAGTGGAATAATACTAACACATGTACTTTATAAAAGAAACAAAAGATCTAAAACAAAAAAGGATGTGCGCAAAAAAAAAGCAACAACCAACAATTAGGCTGCATAATAATAATATTGAACGTAAAACCTGAAAGTGATGGTTCGTTTGTTTGCTTGTTTGTTTGCGAAAAGAGAAGGGCGCACCGACACAATAATGGTCATTTAGTGCTGGGGAAAAAGTAAAACAGAAACATCAAACGGAAAGTAAAAAAGAAGGACCTTCTAGTGGCACCCTCCAACCACCTTCCTGGAAGTGATTGCGATTAAACATTTTTTTTTTTTTGGTAGGGGCCTACGTGTTTTACGACGCTTGCAACTGCATAAGGTCATATGAGCGCAGCTTGCACACGGGGCCTCCGAATTTTTTTGCCCTTCTCCGAGAAGGCTAGGTGTAGATCTTTCCTACCAGGAGATCAGGGGTGTGGCTGAAAGATGGAAAGGCTGCAGAAAGAGTCAGCAGCCCAGAGGAGGGGGCAAAGGAGGAGAGGGGGTCGGAGCAGACAGTGGAGACGAAAAAAGACGACAGAACTCTGCTAGAAAGCAGGAAAGGAGGTGAAAGGAGACACTTTAAAAAAAAAAGAAGCATATTATTTATCAAGACCCACAAAGGTCCTTCAAATTATACAAGACGTATATTAATTTCGTACTCAAATGAGTGTGCGTGTGTACGTAAGAGCGTGTGTACGTAAGTGTGTGTGTGTTGTGTGTGTGTGTGTGTGTGTGCGTACGTGCGTGCGTGCGTGCGTGAGCCTGTGTGTGTTTAGGGGGGTGGGGAGGAGAGAGAGAGAGAGAGAGAGAGAGAGAGAGAGAGAGAGAGAGAGAGAGAGAGAGAGAGAGAGAGGTAAC